CTGGACGTTTTTCTTGCTCGCCTATCAAACGAGTTTCACGTGGGGGTTCGGTGTGTGTTAGTCGGTGGAAAGAAAGAGAGCCTCGCTAACGGGATAAACGAGCGATCGAGCCGCCGCTGTACCTACACATTCCGATACGTAACGGAGAAGAGTGTGCACATCGTTCCAGGCCCGGCCAACGGCGGCTGATCCGTACGCAACGGGTATAAAAAATTTCTCGGAAACGTTCACGTGCATATAAAATTCGAGAAATTTCAAGAGATTCGCGGAACTGTTTGCTCCCGCGGGAAACGGTACATAAAACAGCTGTCGGATGCGGTCGCGAGCAGAGAACCGCGGAGATTCGTGTTTACCTTCGGACGAATAGAAGTTGCAACAATGTTAACGGTGTGGATCTTTTGTACCATATAACATCCATGGAACTATACTTTTCAGAAAATTTTTTCTAGTGACAGAATATTCTATATGTTTTTTTTTCATCGATTAAAAAATTTAACCCTTCAATAGTCGCAATTCAGAAAATCACACAAATGGCATGGGGTCTCAGGATAGTTCAATAATTTAGTATTACGTTTTTGTTCACTTTCTTTTAAGGATCAAATAAAACTGTGGCCACTAATTAAGTATCTTATTATTACTAAAATTCGTAAACAACTTGATATAAAATTGTATGTAAAAAACAGCGAAAGAAAACAAAGGTTCTCTAAAGTAATTGTATTTTGGCATATGACGAAATCAACTGTTAAATAAACAAGATGAATCACTGTTAAAGAGTGAAGTATTTGTTGCGAATAAATTTTTTACATTTGTTGTATTTTGTCACTAGTTTTTTATCATCTTTTGTAAGACAGAACCTTCTTGGACCGAAACTTAAAAGTGCGAAGAGGATTTTAGAAAATTTTTATGAGGAACAGGACAATGTTCGGTCGACAACCAACCGAAAAATTTCACCTTCTACCCCCTACCACCTGCCAGAGCGCCATTTCCTGTTCGGAGAGTGGCTCTCGTAATCATTATTATTCGCAGCCAAATAGCCGGTGGCGTTCTCGGCACTGATTGGCCTTCCTATCTCGAAAATACCAATTCTGCCGAGCCATACTGGTGCATTAAAGTCTCGGGGGTTAATCGTCCGCGGTGGTATTGTTCGCCCGTCTGTAAGTACTGTACCATCAATGAATTCCACAAAACTCTATGAGTACTTCAACATTCATAAACTCTCATTTCAATCATTCTTCGGTCATTCTCAAAAGCGAGTGAATTCCGATTAGTTTCCACCTATTTTTCCAACCCTTTTTAAAGGAATCTTAACTCCTCCATAATTATAATCATAACCTTTTCCAATCACTATCAAAGATATTATTTTCAAGCTCAATATATATGTATCATATACACAAGGGACCCCGTTCCCCTCCACAAATTTTCTTTTTTCTCTTCGACAATACAATAAAGTGTTAAAAAAACCAGTTCTCCGTTTGCTAGAAGGGAACACAAGACACCCTCCTCCTCCAATTTTCCCCAGTCTCCTCGAGGAACCCCTTCGAGCTCCTCATCGATAAGAAAACGCAGCCCTCGGTCGCCCAATTTAATTCCCACCACTCGGAAGATGAGATTAAAACGTCAAACGGCATTCCGCAGCTGTTTCACGCCGTGCACGCCCGCATGCAACTTCCGCCAATTACCGCTTGCGTACAAGGGGCGAGTAGGGGGGAGCGTAGAGGAGAAAGAGAGAAAGAGGGTGGTCGAGGCGGCTCGCGCGATGCACGGCGAATGCAAAGCACCGACAAGGTCGCGGTTCCTAGTGAACCGAGTTCTGCTGCTCCGTCACCTTCGCAGGTAGTCGAAAGAGCCGTCGAACGAAGGAGAATGAGCGAAGAATAGCCGAACGAGAAAGAGAGAAAGAAGGAAGGCGAACACAACGGCCACCGTCGGTGGGACAAGGAGGATCGAAGACGGCGAGTAGGAGAGTAAAGGCCCCGGGCGAGGTCACCCACCGCCCCCGCCCCCTTCACTCCCCCGCACACTCTGATTACCCGCAGCCGGGGGCGGGACACACTGTAATGAGCATCGAAGAGGTGCTCAACTCCGACCTCGCTGAATTTTCCCGGTCCGAATTGCTGGAAATGGACGGCGAATCGGCCATAGAAGGAACCACCATCGGGCTCCTGAACCGTGGCGAGAAAGGTATTACAATTCTCTTCGAACCTCGTTACACGGGCGAATTTCTGTCCCCTTTATGTGCCGGTAATTACGAGAGACGACCCGGAACTAGAGACATTCGAATGAATTAGATTCACCGTGGACTATTCGAGATTACCATTGATCCTATGATTTATGTAAAACAGTCCGACACACGTGCTGTGTCTGTGAAGGATTCCGGATGAAAATAGCCGAGATGACAACTGGGGTAGTTTTAAATAAGATGTAATCCTTACAGGACACAAGTCTCACACCCCAGTGCGTTTGTATTCATTTCATACCATGGGACTTTCGTTCTCTTCCAGGCCGGAAGAGAAGATACCGTCCCAAAGACAGATCTTCATTCGTAATACGATCGTACGGTATACACACCCGCTGAGAGAAGGTCGCGTTGGGGTGATCGTGAACGGCGAAAGACTTCGTGGGCCGAATAGGGGGACAGGCTGAATACAAGAGTAGCCTAGTTGCCTGTCGGCGAAGACACCCGGATGATCGAGCGATGTTATTTTAAGTTTTCCGTGGGGGCTCTCCCATCTCGTCCTAATCGGCTGTCAGCCACCCCCGGTTGTCAGGGGTCGCCGGGCCACCCCCACGGACACGACGTGCCAACGCTTCGGGCACACTTACATATACATATATACATACACCCACCACGCGTAGCACACATACAGAAGTGAACATAGGCATCGTGGAGCCAACACAAGAGAAAAAGAGAGAGAAAGTGAAAGTGGTGGCAGCGACCGAGAGACCCCCCGCGGACCGGATTCGCCCCTTTTTTTTGTACAAGCAGAGAGATTCGCGCCCGAGAATCATGCCCCTCGAGGGGTTGTCGGATTCAAAACGCTTTACACTCTCATAACCTGGTAACCTGTTGCGTCTCGGGGACGGAGAAATCGCGGGGTCACCCCTCGAAAACATGCTTTACCACGTGCTCTGTCATCGTGATTGACTCACAGAGAGAGAGAGAGAGAGAGTATACCGGTGGATGTTCCACCTCCTTCGGTGACCTCGAAAAAAGAAAAGAAGAAACGCAACAACGTTTTACTGGCTGATAAACCTCTGCACCGGCGAATTCCCCTTGGCTAATGTCTTTTCTACCCGCGGAAGCCTTCGGGTCCCGGGCCCGGAACACATTTCATAAATGTGCCGCTTAATCGACCAACTTCTTAAATATCCACGGGGGAAACGACTGTGAGACGCGATCCTTAACCGGTGTGTGCTCGCCCGGTCGAGTGAATTAGTTTTATCAACGGTGTAATGATTCGAGCGACGATTCGCGGTCGTTACGAAATTTGTTACATTAGCATCCACCCCGACGTTTACGGGTCGACGATAAGTGGGTACCGGGTGTAAAGCGGCTGTATGGGGACCGATAAATATTCCAAAGGGATAGACACGCTGCTGCGGCGGCGAATGAAACGCATAATAAAAATTATCAGCCCCAGCCAGTCGCGGAGGACTCCTGAAATTCCAACGGCGCGGTCGGCCAACGTCGTCGGAATAGACCGTGAAGATGAAGTCGCTCCAGGAAAGCCTGGGATGACCTCGACCATGGCTCCGCGGCTCGTTTGATGGACCTCGTTTCATCTTTCTCTCTGTCTCTCTGTCTCACTGTCCCGCCGAGTCCCCTGTATTTCCACCAGATATACCCGTTTACATCGCCCCAAGTTTGGTGGCACATATTATATATATATATATATACCTGAGAAACGGAGGCAGGAAGAGATAGAAACGAAGAGAAAGAAAGAGAGACAGTGGTCTTCTCGAAGGTAGAGGAGCGGTGCTTATTGCGTGATATTAGCCACGGTGGCTGTCCGGGGTAATCATAATCTCGAAAGAGGGACAAAACACAGGCCCCGAATCGCATAACGCTGAATTTTACGACTGCCCGTATAGGTAGAGGACGGACGACCGGATGCTGCGCGACTTTTTACCGCCCCCCTCCCCCTCTAACGCGTCCCTTGATGTCAACAAGAAGACTGCCCGACAACGGAAATATACACCCCCCGCCTGGCGGTGGAGATATCCATGAGAAACTTCGACACTGATTTCTCGATTAAGCTACTACGAGTACAGGAAATCTTCGATGAGTGCTCGAACACTCCTCGACACTGACGAGATGTTCATTCAGAACAGTGATAGGTTTGGAATTCGGAAGCAAATGATATTTATTTCAACCGCATAGGGCCATTAATTTATAAAATATTTAATGTTCAGGAGCCTTCGAACACTCATTCAGGATTTACTGTTTACTCTATCTGTGTACCATCGATTTTCTGTACGACTGTATAGTTCTACCGTTTCGTATATTCTCTGTGTTCCTATCTGCATATAATAACGATAATATCTTCGAAGAATAAAAATATATTGTGATCTGGAATTTACGTCTGGGACTCGCAAGAAATCGAAATCGAGAGGAAACCGCGTGGCGAGTCGCGCTTTCTATCTGGAACGATCGTTCTGGGAATACGATCTAATTTACGCGTTTGCATAAACCTCGCGCGCGCAACGGTTTCCAGGTAATACAAAGAGGGAAAATCAAGGGGTAGGGGTGACCGATGGCGATATCGGGACCGTGTTTCTCCGTTACATCGGCACCGTTTCGCAATCGTCCCGCGAAATGGCCGGTTCGAGCGCGAGCCGAATGGGGGAAAACGGCCCTCGAATCGCGTAATCGGTAGCCGTGTATATTCATTCACGGAAGACACTGGAATAGAGTAGGTTTCCCCCCGTATATTTTTCCCGTGCACAGGGTAAGTACGGTCTTGTAATTTCTAGGAGATTGAGTTCCGTGAGTCACTCACCATAAGGTCGGTCCGCAACCGGATCGCAGGAGTCTGTAACAGAAAAGCAAACGAAACGTTCGATAAGAAACACGGAATAGTCTCGGTGTGGCGTGCGCCGAATTCTTCTTGTTCGACTGCAATTAAAACCGGCGAGTATTCCTCCAACGAGGAAAGAACACCGTTTTTATTCGAGTCATACACATACCCTTGGAACTTTTCGTTTGATAAATTCGAATTCTCACCAAGAACGATAGATAAAGAGAGAGAAAGAGATTCTTTCCTTCAATCTCTCCATTTGTTGCCTTCTTACGTTCTTTCTTTACATTCCACCGTCTGGAAGTGAAGAGAGGGGTATCATTACGCAGTCGTTCGAATAGTTTATTCACGACGATTCGAGAACGACCCTGATCCGTCGGTAATAACTCCGTGGGTATAATCGCCGGACGATCGAAATGACACTCGCGTAGTGTACCCTCGGTGGCCCATTATCTTTTTCAATTTGCATACGGCGAAACGATTGCCGCGATAATTCATCCGCGGCGAAGAAGGCGGTATCACAGTCTAATAGAGGCCTCCGATCATCTCTCTTCCTCTTTCTTTCGCTCTTGGCTCCGTTAAGTAATATCGTTGGCCGCGAAACCGTCGGCAATTTGCGCATCGACGGGGGTAATTGCCAGCTGAAAGATTTGATCAATTACCGGCGGAATATCTTTATCTAATACCGAACAATAAAACACTCGAAAGAAATCACTGCTTCCACGTAGATAATAGATACACTCGAAATATCCAGGCTCTCTATCGTTTCACGTTCAACGGAAAGCATCACGACTATTCTCGATTTATTCGCCCGTGAAATTCCATAGTGCCTTTACGACTGGAACAAATACACAGTGATATTTTGTTGGTATCTCTTTGAAAATAACGCAAACGCAATAAAAGTACACGTAGTCTATGTCACATGGATAAAAGTTTCATAGAACTCGTGAAACAGGCAGCAGCTCTCGCAGAATCGGAGATCACAAGTCGATCTAGCCGCGGATCTGGAAAGGCGACAAAAGTGTCGAAACGGGCGCCAACCTCGGAACAACTCGGTGCAAAAACCAGGACGTTTTAACGACACATCCATGGACAGTCACGGATACACAGAGGCCTGGGTGTGCGAGATCGACTTAGCCAGGAGCTGGTAAATGTCTCACTCAAGGCGATCGTTGTGGCTCTAATAGAAGCCGGCTAGGTAGGTCATCGGATGTCATAAACGCTCGACGAAGTTTCTTCGGTGGTGCAGCGCGTGTTAATAGCCTCATTAGATATCGCGAGCCAGTGACGTATACGGACGATCACGGACCACCGACCTGAACCACGGTTGAATATCCATGTCGTGGAAAGTTACGAACGATCGTATTTCCTATCTACTTCCGGCGAATTGAAAATTTATGCAAAATTGACGGCAACAAAAAGGAGGCTATCACCTACCACCTAATCACAAATGGTGGTCGTTGATAAGCCTCCGTTAGATGAAGGAGTTGAAAACGTTTAATTTTCGGCCGAAAGAAACATCAACGAATCGGCCATTTCAATTCGAGAATAAAGAAAGACAGCAAAAACGGTTCAAGAGAATCCGTCGGCGGGCAATTACGGTCGTTGTTGTATTCTAATATTTCCCGTGAACCGCGCGAGAGAGAGAACGCGTGGCCACGAATTCTAATTCACAATCCGGTGGGTCGCGTCCTGGGGCCCCCCTCGATAGAGGTGGCAACGGGGTCGCGCGCGATCGTCGATAAATATTAAACGACTTTCCACCTGCCGCAGCGCGCCGGTGTGGCCGGTTGTGTTTCGAGAGCCGAGGTTCGGAGAGGAGAGAGGGATTTCCGAGAGGGAGATGACTGAATGTTAATTAGCGAGGCGTGACAAGTGTTAAGTAATCCATCCATCTAGCCGCGTGCAAAGAGGGAGTAGAAGGAGGGGGAGGAGGAGGAGCCTGGTTAACACTCGGGCAATTAACGCGACGCACGCATCATCGACAGAGCAGCACTACTTGGTCCCGTGGCAGTTGTCGGTGCAATTAGTGGAGGATTTAACTGTTAACCCCCATCGATGTTGGAAAGTGAAACGGAATTTTAGTGCCCCTTGCGTCGCCCGGAAGTCGCCCGTGTTTGTTTCGCTTTCGTAGGACGTAACTGTACGCTTCGATTCGAACGATCCATCAACTCGCTGACAAGCTTATTCGTGGTTGCATTCGAAAACGATGTGTCTATTCCCGTTTGGCTCACTTTTACTTTCGGCGTTGATTGTCCCCCGATAGTCTTGGAATTTCAAATTGTTGATTGAGCTGATTCGCGATAAGGCTTCCTTTCTTCTATCCGGGAAATTCGAAAGTATCATCCCCAGGTGGTTGTAGTTATGTACTCGACGGTGGACTGATAATGGTACTTACAGGTGTTGCTGATAACGGGCCGGTGAATCGGTTCGATATAGAAGTAAGGCCGATTAGAGGAAATTGCAGATCGAACGGTAAGCAGAGTCAAGAAACAAGACCCCGGAAGCGAGTTCGATGAACGAGCTAACGGATGGGCAACGCCGAGCTATTATTTAACTCTAATTGATGATGGCTCTCGTAGGCTGTTCCACATTGATGGTCATCGATAATCGCTAATGATTCCGATGTTTCGCGTACCGCTGCGCTGACGCGGAAGGAAATGAAGCTTAGCGCGGCGCAGCCTCCGGGCACTTTTTAGAAAACATGCAACAACGCTTGGAGAATAGTTATTCCGGTTATAATATAAATTGGTCATCTTTGGCTGGTTTATTCCTGAGAATCCATCTTGTGATACTTCTGATGAGTACCACAAGGTTTACTGCTGATGCGTTTCAGCTCTCATGTATGAATTAGGAATAAACTTTTTATTCTCTAGTAGGTGCAAGATACTTGTGGACTAAATTACAGGATAAGTAAGTAGAAGTTCAGACTTTGGGCAAACTAAGGGTGACTACCTTGTCTAGGACAGAGCAGCGCGGTCGCAGTAATTGATAGAGTGAATCAAAGTCAACAGACACCTAAGTTGATCATCCAACAATCATTCTCAAGGCCCCCAAGAGGATGGACCGTGATTCAAAAATGTATTAAAATTCTCTAAATACCTTCAATGATGCTACAAACGATACCCTAAACAGCAGACCCATCAGGCAAGTTCTAGATAGGGTAATATGCTTTCAGGCTACATGTCAATATGTCATGCGTGTACACGCGATTAGAATTCCTGTGCTGTCTTCGTGCCACGACAACGAAGCGTGGAGAGCAAACGGTAAGAAAAAAATTAATCGAAACGCGATCAGTCACGACAGCAACTACAATGTAGACTGGGTAAGATTCTGTAGTCACGGTGGCCCTGATACGCGCGGTGAAGCGAACGCGTCACAAAGATGGTTACAGGGGCCCCCTCGAGGAGAACCTTAAAGGCGAATCATACCAAAGCGGCGGCAGCCTCCACCGACGATCTTTCTCTCTCACGGATGAAAAAGAACGCAAGAAGTACAAACGCACCCGCGGTGATGATTAACAACCAGTCCCGACGCATATCTCCGAGGCCCCGACGAGCTGGCTAATCGATTAATACACGATATCGAACGTGCACGTCTCACCGCCATTGCTTGTTGTTAATTACACTGATACATCTATTCGTCGAGACCGAGTCCAGGTTGACTTGTGATTCGGCGGATTCGACCTCCTGCCGGTCCGGCGTTCGATCTTCTCCGAGTGGATTTGAATCTAACTTTTGACACACGTCACGAACTATCTCTCTTATGGTAAGAAAAAAAAAATTATATTGACTGGAGAACATCATTCTTTGATACCAATTACCTGCCGTCACCGTGTTTGCTACGCTAATCGGGTGTCACGAAGTGAAACTACGTTACGCGCGGATGGAGCGTTCCGGTACGTTTCACTTTTTAAATTAATAATCCTCCGACCGCCTGTCCGTTACATCGGTATTACTCAATTATAACCGTGCATTGTGATATTCCGTATCTATTCATCGATGTTACTTTAACAATCGGAAACTTCGAGCAGTATATCAAGAAGTATTACTGTAATAGCTTTGTTCGAAACCAGATACAGATGTGTAGGGCATAAATTGTTCACTGGAGAATATTAAAGATTATCCTATTAACCTGTCGGTATTTTTTCACAAAAAGGTGTTTTTTGGACTTGTAATTACAGAAACTCTACTGGCTACGATTTTCTGTGCACCAGGTGCCTATACAATTACCTGAACTGTCAGTACCGCTAAGAATTAAATACCTGTACGCAAGCCAAGCTTATCTTCTATCCTTCCAAAAATATTCAAACCTGTGTTCAGTGTGAATACGTTTCCGTCCAATCAACCAGATCCACCAGGAGTCTCGGATTAACCGATCAAAAGACTCGACAGGTAAGTATCTACATATACACGCGTGTGTCCCTGCGAAAATTACACACAACACGACGACGACGTGTCGAGGTCTTCGACACACCTATTCCGTTCACAGTCCGGCTTACACCGAGGGATCTCAACAGGACAAGGCTCGATCGGTCACGTACGATTAGCTACGCGAGTTCGACGAGTTCCGCTTTTGCTTGCTCGTAGAAAACAACAACAAGGATTTCCCACCTGGTTTTCGCGTATAATGCAGACGTACGCGAAGTACGCGAAATCGAGACCTATCGAAGGATTCTATCAATCGACTGGATGGGAGGATATTTCGTCCGGATAAACCGAACGAACGATTCATTCGTTCGTCTGTCGGATCAATGTATGGGCTCAGGTGGTCGCGATGAGTCGACAGGCTGCGGTTAATCAGGCACCGTCCTCCTCATTCTGGATACATTCGGTAATCAAGAGATCGTAACTTCGTTTCTGGCACGGTGAAAGGCCCTCTCTTACGGTACACACACAGCTTGAACAACAGCTAATTGCTGGGACAGTGTCCCCGGGACAATTTTATAATATTCATGGTGGGGACACGCTGGCTAAATCACCTTCCGTCTTTGTGTACCCACGGGTTCATTGTCG